TCGTCCATCTGCTGGCCCACTTATCTGTGCTAAATGTCATTGTTTTCCCATATCCTCCCCCCCCCCCCCCCCAATGAAAACAGCAGTAAGCCCTGGGTTCCAGCCCCCTCTGCAGGTCCCACCGGCCCACATACCTGTCTCTGCCCTTGCAATTCTCTCTCTCTCTTTTTTTAAAGATTTATTTATTGATTTGAAAGGCAGAGGCAGAGAGAGAGAGAAAAACAGAGAGAGAGAGAGAGAGAGAGGCTGGTTCACTCCACAAATGACCACAATGGCTGGAGCTGAGCCAATCTGAAGCCAGGAGCCAGGAGCTTCTTCCTGGTCTCCCAAGTGGGTGCAGGGACCCAAGGACTTGGGCCATCTTCCACTGCTCTCCCAGGCCATAGCAGAGAGCTGGATCGGAAATGGAGCAGCTGGGACTTGAACCAGTGCCCATGGGGATGCCGGTGCTACAGGCGGTGGCTTTCCCCACTAAGCACAGGGCCGGTCTCTCTTGCAGGTCTCTCTTCCGTCATTTGACTTGCAGCCTCCCAAACCCTGAACCTGAGAGGGTAGAGGAGCGCTTTCCTCCTGACAATGCTGAGTTCGCTGCAGAGGGAGCGGCACTGCCGGTGCCAGCCTAGGGACAGCAAGGGACCCGCTGACCCCCAACCAGTGGTGTGGTTAGGGTGGGTTTGGGCTAACTTATCTCCCCACTCGGACACTGTGATCTGTGTAACCGAGTGGCCCTCACGTGAAGCTGTCATAACCTGGAACCCTCTCCCTCAGCCGCTCAACAAGGAAGGTCCATCAGGGTCAGCACCGTGCCGTAACAGGCTAAGCAGCCGCCTGCAGTGCCGGCATCCCATATGGACACTGGTTCTAGTCCCGGTAGCTCCACTTCCGATCCAGCTCCCTGCTAACGCACCTGGGAAAGCAGAGGAAGACGGCCCAAGTGAAGACCTGGGAGACCCACATGAAGCTCCTGGCCCAGCTCTAGCCATTGCGGTCATCTAGGGAGTGAACCAACTGTTGGAAGATCTCTCCCCCTCTGACTCTCCATATCTCTCTGTAAGTCTTTCACATAAATAAAACTTTTTAAAAAAAGAAAGGCCCACCAAGGGGGCCACTGGGCCAGCCGCAGAGGGCAAGGAGGCACTCAGCCTGTGGAATTCACCCTGCTCTGCAGTGCAGCCCCTAGCTCTGTGAGGACCAACTCACATTAAACAGACTCACCAAGCACCAATGAACAAACCAGAAGGCCAACTTACTAATTTGCAAATGCTGATGGGATCATGACACGTCAACACCGAAGCACGGGGGACTGCCCTGGGTGGGCAGAGGGATGCCCACCCCATGGCAGGGGCTCTAGGGGAAGCTCTGAACTTTGATCTTTCTGTCCAGTGGCTGCCAGTTTGCCTGACTCATGGCGTGAGGGAAACTGAGGCACAGACCTGGTTGGTGGCCAGAGGGTTTAGTATTAGGAAGGTGGTGCTGACACTGTTTTTTTTTTTTTTGTTCATTTGTTTGTTTTTGTCTTTTAAGAGTTTTTATTTATCTGAAACTCAGAATTACAGAGAGAGAGAGAGAGGGAGAGACAGAGAGAGATCTTCCATCCACTGGTTCGTTCCCCAAATGGCTACAGCAGCCAGGATTGGCCAGGCCGAAACCAGGAAGCAGGAAGCTTCATCGAAGTCTCCCATGTGGGTGCAGGGGCCCAAGTGCTTGGGCCATCTTTCACTGCTGTCCCAGGCCATTAGCAGGGAGCTGGATCGCAAGTGGAGCAGCCAGGACTCGAACCGGTGTCCATACGGGACGCTGATGCTGCAGGCGGCGGCTTAACCCACACTGGCCCCAGGGTCAGCTTGAGAAGGCAACGTTAGACTCAACAGACAGCGGTCACAGTACTCCAACACTTGCACACGGGGACCCCACAGATAAAGTCCTCTCCCCCAAAACCGATCTGCCTCTGTCCTCCTGCCCAGAATCCCCTACCCCCATGCAGTCCTGTTTTGAGTTAAGGTACCAGTGTCCCAGGGAGTCCCTCGTGAAACGCGACTCAGCCTGAAGATACAGAACTGGGGGCACAGGTGTGGGCTGGCCTGCTGCCTGAGACCCACCTCTGCCTCCCATCCAGCTCCCTGCTAATGCGCCCGGGAGGCAGCAGGTGATGGCTCACATCCTAGGGCCTCTGCCGCCCACGTGGGGCAGCCGGACGGAGTTCCTGGCTCCCCAAATCAGCCTGGCCCCGCCTTGGCTGCTGTGGGCATTTGGGGGGAGTGAAGCGGTGGCTGGAAAATGTCTCCCTCTCTTTCTTTCTGCCTTTCTGATAAATAAAGTTGAATAAACATACAAAAGAATGTGGGATGATTTAACTCCGTATCCCGGGAGTCCTGGAGGTAAGAAAGGAATCCCCGAAATTCCTGGCCGGGCTGGGTGTTCCTATTTTGTGGAAGGACGCCGTTTTGCAGTGAGTTGCTTGGGAATGAGCTGAGGGGAAGATAAAAGAACACGGAGGAAGCTCCCGCGGGGGGGTGTGGGTGCAGCACCCACCCTGTGTCAGGCACAGGCAGAAGCCCGAGTTTCCAGATTCTTCCCCGTATTGGAAGCCTTACATGAAGATCCAAGGATTCAAACTGTGGTCCAAGTAGCTCAAAATTAATTCTTTTTCAGTGTTTTAATTTTTAATTAGCTTTTAATAGATTCAATATGGTTCACAGATACATTTCTAGGAATTTAATGATATTCCCTTCTTCCCCCTTCAAAACTGATTCTATGACACATTAATATTCTAAAATTATTCTTACTTGGAAAGTGTAAAGTTTGGGGGACTCTTTGTATGCTTGGTGTTTCAGAGACACTTCCCAAATGGTTCACTTCCCAAATGCCCACAGTGGCCAGGCCTGGGCCAGGCTCCAGCGAGGGGCAGGGAACTCAGCCCAGGTCCCTGACGTGAGCAGCAGGGACCATGAGCCATCACGGGGCCCACATTAGCAAGAAGCTGGAACCAGGCGCAGAAGCCGGCATGGAAGCCAGGCATTTGCATCTGGGACATGAGCATCTCATCCGCCAGGCCAACACCTGCCCCCTGAAGCATTTTCACAGCTGGAATGATTCCCCCAAGTTGAAATGCACAAAGAGAAAAAGGCCGTACAACAGCTGCACTCCCTGCGAGCCCACCCGCAGTGCCTGAGACGCTGCTGTCCAGCACAGCTCAGAGTCCAGACGCCTGGTAGTCTGTGAAAGCCCCCCGCCAACGCAGTCTGTCGGAAGTCCTGCCGGATGTGTCCTTTGGTTTTCCTTCTGCAACGCTGCTTGATCCGATAGAGGTCGCTTTCTACTTGCACCACAGTCTACTCAATCGCATAATTCTTTTTTTAATCAGCGCTGTGGCGCACTAGGTTAATCCTCTGTCTGCAGCGCCGGCATCCCATATGGGTGCCGGTTCTAGTCCTGGTTGCTCTTCTTCCAATCCAGCTCTCTGCTGTGGCCCAGAAGGTCAGTGGAGGATGGCCCAAGTGCTTGGGCCCTGCACCCGCATGGGAGACCGGGAAGAAGCACCTGGCTCCTGGTTTTGGATTGGCACAGTTCCGGCCATTATGGCCATTTGGGGAGTGAACCAATGGAAGGAAAACCTTTCTCTCTGTCTCTTTCTCACCCTCTGTAACTCTACCTGTCAAATAAATAAATAAAATCTTTAAATAAAAAAAGATTTATTTACTTATTTGAAAGTCAGAGTTACACAGAGAGAAAAAGAGAGGCAGAGAGAGAGAGAGAGAGAGAGAGAGAGAGAGGTCTTCCATCCACTGGTTTACTCTCTAATTGGCCACAACTGCCGGAGCTGGGCCAATCCGAAGCTAGGAGCCAGGAGCTTCTTCTGGGACTCCCACATGGGTGCAGGAGCCCAAGCACTTGGGCCATCTTCTGCTGCTTTCCCAGGCCATAGCAGAGAGCTGGATCGGAAGTGGAGCAGCTGGGACTTGAACCAGTGCTCATATGGGATGCCAGCACTGTAGGCAGCAGCTTTACCCACTATGCCACAGCTCCAGCCCCAAATTTATTTATTTATTTGACAGGCAGAGTTACAGAGAAAAAGAGGCAGAGGCAGAGAGAGAGAGAGAGAGGTCTTCCATCCACTGATTCACTCTCCAAATGGCCACAGCGTCCAGGGCTGGGCCAGGTTGAAGCCAGGAGTTCCTTCTGCACCAGCCCCTTCACCTCTGGTCTTACTGGCCAGACACCCAGCTGATTCTGTTTCTCTCAATTCCCATTCAGCCTCAAGTTGTATATTTCTTTGGAGCCTTTCTAAAAAAGATATATGGGGGCTGGCGCTGTGATGTAGCAGGTAAAGCCGCCACCTGCAGTGCCAGCATCCCTTATGGGCACCAGTTCGAGTTCCAGAACTCCTCTTTCGTTCCAGCTCTCTGCTATGACCTGGGAAAGCAGTAGAAGATGGCCCAAGTCCTTGGGCCCTGCACCCACATGGGAGACCGGGGATAAGCTCCTGGCTCCTGGCTTTGGATCAGCCCAGCTCTGACCATTGTGGCGATTTGGGGAGTGAACCAGTGGATGGAAGACCTCTCTCTCTCTCTCTCTCTCTGGCACTACCTCTCTCTCTGTAACTCTACCTTTCAAATAAAGAAATAAATCTTTAAAAATAAATAAAAATGTATTATTTATTTGAAAGGCAGAGTTAGAGGTGTGTGTGTGGGAGAGAGAGAGAGAGAGAGAGAGAGAATCTTCTATCTGCTGATTCACTCCCCAAATGGCCACAATTGTTCGGGCTGGGCCAGGCGAAAGCCAGGAGCCTGGAACTCCATCTGGGTCTCCCACGTGGGTGCAGGGGCCCAAGGAGCTGGACCATCCTCTGCTGCTTTCCCAGGCTCATTGGCAGGGAGCTGGATCACAAGTGGAGCAGCCGGGACTGGAAACGGTGCTCACATGGATGCCGGCACTGCAAGCAGCAGCCTAACCCACGACGCCGCGGTGCTGCCCTCAACCAGCTTAAACACGCTCCTTACCCTGCGGTTCCTCCGAGCTGGACTGTCATTCCAGACCTTCCCGGGACTCCATCCACGCTGGGGCATTCACTCCCAAGTCTCACGTGAACTGCTTGGCGCTCGAACTGGGCCACAGAACTGTTGACACATTCTTGCCATGCATTGATGTCACTTATCTGCCCTATCACGTAGCCAGTCCTTCAAAGTCACCTCTCGTTATGTCCTGTCACAGGCAGAACAACCCAGGGCTCTCAGGCCCTGAGCCAAAGCCAGCAGGTGCGGCGTGGGCCAACCCCAGCAGAGGGCAGCGCGAGCCCCCTGGCAGCTGACCCACTGGGGACTGGAGCAGGCGGGACACCAGAGGGGAGGGGGCAGGAGGCAGTCTGAGCAGGGCTGCTGCTTGCGATACCCATGGGGACTTCTCAAGTGATGTTTGTCAAGGAGTAGAGCAGAAGCACCCAGGATTACCAAGGAAACCAATCATGCAAAACACGCTTGCTGTGTGCTGCATAATTAAGTTGAAATAAAAAAAAACTTTTAACATTTATTTTCATTTTATTTTGAAAGGCAAAGAGACAGAGAGATATGCGATCCCCTGGTTCACTCCCCAAACGCCCACAGCAGGCAGGGCTGGGCCAGGCCAGGCTGAAACCAGGAATCTGGATCTCAGTTTGGGCTCCCACGTGGTGGCAGGGGCCCAAGTTCTTGAGCCACCACCTGTGGCCTCCCAGGATGTGCATTAGCCGTGGGCTGGATCAAGAGCAGAGCTGGGGCCAGCGGCGCAGCTCAGTGGGTTAATCCTCCGCCTGCGGCGCCGGCACACCGGGTTCTAGTCCCGGTTGGGGCGCCGGATTCTGTCCCGGTTGCCCCTCTTCCAGGCCAGCTCTCTGCTGTGGCCAGGGAGTGCAGTGGAGGATGGCCCAGGTGCTTGGGCCCTGCACCCCATGGGAGACCAGGAAAAGCACCTGGCTCCTGCCATGGGATCAGCGCGGTGCGCCAGCCGTGGCGGCCATTGGAAGATGAACCAACGGCAAAGGAAGACCTTTCTCTCTGTCTCTCTCTATTAAAAAACAAAACAAAACAAAACAAACAAACAAACAAACAAACAAACAAAAAACAAGAGCAGAGCTGGGACCGAGACCCAGGCACTCTGACGCGGGATGCTGGTGCCCCTGTGAGGCTTAACTGCCGTGCCCAGCGCCCGCCCCGAGGTGATTCCTGATACAGGTGCCAAGACGCCAGGTCCAGTCTCAGAGCTGACGGCTACTTGGATTTGAAGTCGCGATGAGGTTCAAGCTGTCTTCCACAACACGGTGTGGTAAGAAAATGCCTGGGCTCCCGTGGGTGACAAGGTCCCAGGAGCCTCCTGCCCTCCTGGGGAGTGACACCCACGTGCACAACAGCAAATGCTGATGCTCAGGGAAAGCTGCGTGAAACAGCCACGTCCATGTTTCCCGTCCTGAATTCACCCAGGCTCCTTCATCAGGAGAAGACAGCTGAACAGGGAACAAAGAAGGGATTTCTCTCTCTCTCTCTCTCTCTCAACTTACTTGAAAGGTAGAGATACAGAGAGAGAGCAAGAGAGATCTTCCATCCACTGGTTTGGTTTGCTCTCCAAATGGCTGAGCCAGGAGCTTTTTCCGGGTCTCCCACATGGGTGCAGGGGCCCAAGGGCTTGGTCCATCTTCCCCCAGGAGCATCAGCAGGGAACTGGATGGGAAGTGGAGCAGCTGGGACTTGAACTGGCACCCCTATGGGATGCCTGCGCCGCAGGCAGCGGCTTTACCTGCTATGCCACAGCACTGGCTGCAAAAGAAGGGATTTCTTGGCAGAGTCCCTGGACCTGCATTTTCCTCTGCAGTGGTGAGCGTGAGCCGTGGGCGCGGCGGCGCCTGTGATGTAACTGTCAGAGTGCTGGTTCTTGAGCCCCAGCTCTGTCACTCGGCCTTTTGAACAAATAAATCTTTAATAACCCAAGAGTCGGGGTGGGAGGAGGGCAGGGGACAGAGGCCGCTGGGAACTGGCAGGTCAGGCTGCTGCCCACACTTTGCCCTGCTTGGAGGCCGTCTGCCGTCTGCACGGTCGGTTGGACGCTCCGCCCGATGCCTCCAGGCTCTCAGGTGACAAAAGAAAATCAGGTCGGGCAGCCCAGGCCCGGAGGACCGGGAGGACCAGCTGGGGCTCCCCGGTTCTCCCATCTGCAGCTGCCCCGGTCCATTTCATTCCGGGGAGACCCTGCCCGAGCCTCTGGAAGCTGGCAAGCGTCCCAGGGCCCTGGCGAGAGCTCCCCCTCTGCCCTCTGCTATCTGCGCAGGAGCCTGGAGTGTGAACCCCAAAACGGAGAGCCCCAGGTTGGCCCCTTCGCCCAGGCAGTGCCATTTTACCCCTGTGGACCCAGCATGGCTTATCTGGTTTGCTTTTCACTTTGTGTTACAAAGAAAGTGTGAAACACACACGAGTGGGAAAAGTAGTAACCTAGACCCTCATTTGCCGGTCACCCGGATGTTTACAGTGTTCAACCTTTCGCCACATTGGCTTTCCTTCTTGCTTCAGCACAATTCTGAGCAGTCCCACTTCCACCCTCGGGATCGGACCCAGCCGGGATCCTGCACTTCACAGCAAACCACCGCACCGCGAGGTGATGTCCAGGACATCTCGGGGGACTGACAGAACTGGGCTGTAGGCTCCACAGGCTCAAGCTTTATTTCAAAGTCGAATTTTCTGAAGCTGATTTTTTTTAATCCTGTTAGAGTTACAGAGAGAGGGAGAGACAGGGAGAGGTCTTCCATCTGCTGGTTCACTCCCCAAGTGACTGCAAGGCCAGAGCTGAGCTGATCCAAAGCCAGGAGCCAGGAGCTTCTTCCAGGTCTCCCATATGGGTGCAGGGGCCCAAGGACTTGGGCCATCTTCTACTGCTTTCCTAGGCCACAGCAGAGAGCTGGATTGAAAGAGGAGCAGCTGGGACACGAACCGGCGCCCATATGGGATGGTGGCATGGCAGGCAGCAGCTTTACCCAGTATGCCACAGCACTGGCCCCAGACTTTTTTTTTTTTAATTTATTTAATTATTTGTAAGTTGAGTTGCAGAGAAAAGGGAGAGACAGAGAGAGAGATATATATTTTCCATCTACTGGTTGTCTCCCCAGATGGCCACAACAGCCAGGGCTGAGCTAGGCCGAAGCCGGGAGCCAGGAGCTTCGTCCAGGTTTCCCATAAGAGTAGCAGGAGCCCAGACAGGGCTATTTTCTGCTGCTTTTCCATGCCGTTAGCGGGGAGCAGGCTCAGAAGTGGATGAGCCACGACACAAACCGGTGCTCCTATGGGATGCCAGCGCTGCAGGCAGCGGCTTTACCCACTGTGCCACACCAGTCCCTAGAGGTGTTCTTACACTACGCATATTCTTGTAACATTCCTGCAGGTTTGGAATTATTTCTAGAACAATTTACCCAAACAGTTCACATTAGCAAACCAAGGAGAGACACTAGCACAGACAGTGATCCACACGGCCACCCCACCTCAAGTTCACGCAGTCCAGGATGTCCTGGCAGGTTTGACCAGGAGGAGGGTGATTCTGGGTCCCAGCGCCGCATCTGTGTGAAAGGCTGCAGAGGACTGGATGGCACCTGAAGGCACATGCAGAGCCCTGGGCAGGGGCGGTGGGGCGGGGCCAGCTGCATGGGCTCCTGCCCTCAGGAAGCTGTTCAGGGCTGGGGGCTCCTGCACAGGGCTGGGGGCTCCACCTGATGGGAGGGGCTCTGCAGGCCCCGGGCCAGTGCATGGGGCTGGGCCTGCAGCAATCTGCCTTGGGCGACAGGACGAGGCTGCCCATTGGAATGAGCCAGAATAAGGGCTGGCTGTCCACGGCCCTCATCATGGCTTCAGCTCTCTTAAAGGTTTAGGCCCTGTGAGAAGTTGGAGGTTCAAGAGAAAGATTAAAGATTTTTTCCTGATGCAGCTCTGGATCGGACTTTACCATATCCACTCTAATCACCTGACGTCTGTCCTTTAATCGCACTCCTCCCTCTGCAATCTTCCCTCAGCCTGAAAGCCACAACCATAGTAACAATATCCATGGCAAACAATTACCGATACCTTTGTCATCCCAGCACCTGATCCTCCCTGGAGCACAGGGTGGCTGAGACGTCCACACCCAGTATCAGTGCCTGAGCGGGAGTCCTGGCTTCAGATTCAGCGTCCTGTTAAGGTGCACCTGGGAGGCAGCAGATGCTCGGACCGGGGGTGGGGGGAGTGGGGGCAGCATTGTGGCATAGTGGGTTAGGCCACGGCCTGCAGTGCCTGCATCCCACGTGAGCCTGTATTAGAGTCCTGGCTGCTCGACTTCTGATCCAGCTCCCTGCTAATGCACCTGGGAAAGCAGTGGAGGATGGCCACGGTGTTTGGGCCCTGCCACCCGGGGGGCAGACCAGAACAGAGTTCTAGGCTCCTGGCTTTGGCCATTTGGGGAGTGAACTAGCGAATGGAAGATTCTCTCTGTGTGTGTGTGTGTGTGTGTGTGTGTCCCCTCTCTCTGTAACTCTGCCTTTCACATAAATAAGTAGACCTTTGAAATACAAAACAACAAAACCGCTTGGGTCCCTGCCATGTATATCGAAGGCCTCGGCTGGGTTCTGGGCTCCTGGTTTCAGCCTAGCTAAACCCTGGCTGCTGCAGGCATTTGGGGAGTGGATTTTTTTTAAGATTTATTTATTTAATTGAAAGTCAGAACGCCTCTAAGTCAGAATCCTGCCCAGGCAGAACGAGGTGGCAGCCCTGAAGGAGCCTCAGTTGGCCTTGGATAGCCGGTCCCCTGCAGTCCCCAATGCCCCCCCCAACCCGTGTGTTTGGACTTGGGTCCGGTGCAGAGAGCCCTTTGTCTGGGGAAATGGGGCGTGGCTGGAAAGGGGGCCGCCCTCTCAACACTGCCTGTTTGTGGGGAACCTGGCAGTAAACCGTTCATGGATGACCTGCTTCTGGGTTGGAGTTTCGCAGGTAGCAAAGCAGCTCCCTCACGGCGATCTATTGAAAGTCAACCCTCAGGGCCGGCACCATGGCTCACTTGGTTAATCCTCCACCTGCGGCGCCGGCATCCCATATGGGCGCCGGGTTCTGGTCCCGGTTTCTCTTCTTCCAGTCCGGCTCTCTGCTGTGGCCCGGGAAGGCAGTGGAGGATGGCCCAAGTGCTTGGGCCCCTGCACCTGCATGGGAGACCAGTAGAAGCACCTGGCTCCTGGCTGCGGATTGGTGCAGCGCTGGCCGTGGCGGCCATTTGAGGGGTAGCAGAAGGAAGACCTTTCTCTCTGTCTATAACTCTACCTGTCAAATTAAAAAAGGAAAGAAAGAAAGAAAGAAAGAAAGAAAGAAAGAAAGAAAGAAAGAAAGAAAGAAAGAAAGAAAGAAAGAAAGAGAGAGAGAGAAAGAAAAAAAGAAAATCATAGTTACACAGAGAGAAGGAGAGGCAGAGAGAGAGAGGTCTTCCATCCACTGGTTCACTCCCCCAAACGGTCGCAATGGCCAGAGCTGTGCTGATCCAAAGCCAGGAGCCAGGAGCTTCCTCCAGGTCTTCCACACTGGTGCAGGAGCCCAGTGACTTGGGCCGTTGTCCACTGCTTTCCCAGGCCACAGCAGAGAGCTGGATCAGAAGAGGAGCAGCCAGCACACGAACCACAGGCCATATGGATGCTGGCACCACAGGCAGAGAGGCTTAGCCCACAGCACCTGCCCCAATAAAAGGTTTTAAATGTGGCTGCCAGGCAGTTTCTGGTAGGTTAGTAGGAGCTGGACCACCCGACCTCTTATTCTGATGGACGCTCTTGTCATCACAGGTAAGACGGGCAGGGTCTGGGGCCCACTCACCGTGCTGCACGTGCAGGCCCTCCCGGGTGGGCACTGCTTCCCAGACCTGGCCCCTGAAGTGGTTCCCGGGGGGATCATCAGCCCTCCTCCCTCCCCAGCCCTCCGCCACCTAGGCAGGCACACAGTTCTCAACCTGCCCTAAAACCAGTTCCCCCAGGTCCTTGCAAGACCTGCACTCGGGTGTGCCTCCCCCAGCCAGCTGTGGAACAAAAAGCCTGTGTCAAGAATGAAAAATGGGGGCTGATGCTGTGGCATAGCAGTTAAAGCCACCGCCTGCATTGCCAGCAGCCCACATGGGTGCTGATCAAGACCCGGCTGCCTCATTTCCAATCCAGCTCTGTGGTGTGGCCTGGAAAAGCAGTAGAAGATGGCCCAAGTCCTTGGGCCCCTGCACCCATGTGGGAGACCTGGAAGAAGCTCCTGGCTCCTGGCTTCGGGTTGGCCCAGCTCTGGCCATTGAGCCCATTTGGGGAGTGAACCAGTGGATGGAAGACCTCCCCCCCACCATAACTCTGCCTTTCAAATAAATAAATAAATTTTTTTTAAATTGAAAAATGGAAATAAATGTTGGAGGTACATGGAGAAGCACGTTCTTTTAGGTTGAAAAATTCATTAAATTTTTAAAACATTAAAGCTGTTTTGGAGGTAGATGATCCTAAAAGTACACGTGCAGAGTCAGTCTCTCGGTCCGTTGTCACTCATGGTAAAATTAAGAGCCTGCAAAAACACACAGCCCTGGGGCTGACGCTGCGGCACAGTAGGATAATTGCCGTCTGCAGCACCGGCATCCCCTATGGGAGCCGGTTCAGCTCCCAGCTCCTCCACTCCCAATGCAGCTCCCTGCTAATGTGCCTGGGAAAACAGCAGAAGATGGCCCAAGTGCTTGGGCCCCTGCACCCACGTGGGAGATCTGGAAGAAGCTTCTGGTTCCTGGCTTTGGTCTGGCCCAGCTCCAGCAGTTGCGGCCATTGGGAGGGTAGGCCAGCAGATGGAGGATCTGCCTAAGAAAGGCGTAGGCTCCACTGCCTTCTACCCTCTTACTGGGATGCACCCACAAGTGAAACCCACTGGTGCCCCTGCATCAGGTCTCCTCTTGACACCCTGGGAACCAAAGTTGCTCCCCAGCCATGGAACCAAAAGCCGGAGAATGAGTGGAAACACAAGAGCCGGACAGCTCTAGGAAGGGAGGAGTCTGGAGATGATGATGCTGACTGGGCTGCTCCTACCCATTCACACATGCCCTGCCCCAGGCTTAGCCACTCAGGACTGTCCTGATGATGTGGCCACAGCCTGACCACACAAAACTTCCCTTAGGGGAGGGCATCATGGCGCAGCAGTTGGACTGCCATTCATAACGCCGGCATCCCATACTGGAGCCCCAGTTCACATCCCAGTTGCTCCAATTCCGCTCCAGTTCCGGGCTGATGCACCTGGGAAAGCAATGGAAGACGGCCCAAGTGCTTGGGCCCCTGCCACCCACGTGGGAGACCCAGATGGAACTCAGGGCTCCGGGCTTCAGCCTGTCTCAGCTCTGGCTCCTGCAGGCGTTTGGGCAGTGAGCCAGCAGATGGAAGATCTCTTCCTGTCACTCCATCTTTCAAGCAGATGAAAATAAATAAACATTTTAAAAACTTCCGTGCCCTCTGAGAACTTTTTTTTTTTTTTTTTTTGATTTGAAAGATACAGCAGCAGAGAGAAAGGGAGAGACGGAAAGAATCGTTCATCTGCTGTTGACTTTTCAAATGCACACAACAGCCAGGGTTGGGCCAGGCTGAAACCAGGAGCCAGGAACTGCATCTGGGTCTCACGTGGGTGGTACGGGCCTAAGCACTGAAGCCATCATCTACTGCCTCCCAGGCACATCCGTAGGAAGCTGGAGTGCAGTGGAAGTGAAACTCGGTGTGGGAAACAGGTGTCCCAGGAGGGCTGACCCAGTGTGCCACAACGCTCATCCCGGGGGCAGAGTTTTGAACACTGCCCATGACCCCTTGCTTGGCTGCCCCGTGATAATCTTTCTCCCTGCAAAAGCCCTTGGCTTCAGGTTTGGCCTTCTGTTGTGCAAGGGAAAGGGACTCACCTTGGTTTGGCAATGTAGGTTCCAGTTTCATAAAGCAGCACCCCTCATGGAGCCACTTGGAAGAATCCGGAACAAAGGGCACTGTGCTCACTAGGCAGCCAGTAGAGTCAGCATCCGCCAGCCTTTTCCCATAGCAACAACTGGAAATTCGTACCAGGCTCTTTTCTCAGCATCTTAATTGCAGTAACTCATTTAATTCCTGGATGTTACAAGAGTTACAGAGATCTGAATCTGCCTCCTCACATGTAATAAGACTTTGGCACAAAGATCATCTTGAGCTGAAGGAAACTAAGAAGTAGACCCAAGAAAAGCTTTCGGCTCTCCCCCAGCTGCCTGAAAACAGGGCACAAATTTCCCTTTGTGAAGGGGCCCATCCGCCACCTCTTACTGGGACAGGAACATAACGGATCACCAGAGACAGCACCAGGATGTCTGCATAAACGTTACTCAAGGGGCCGACGCTGTGGCTTAGTAGGTTAAGTATCTGCCTGCAGCACCAGCATCCAGTAATGGGCGTTGGTTCGATTCCTGGCTGCTCCACTTCCAATCCCACTCCCTGCTGATGGCCTGGGAAAGCGGCAGCAGATGGCCCAAGTGCTTGGGCCCCTGAACCTCTGTGGGAGACCCAGAATAAGCTTCTGGCTCCTGGGTTCAGATAAGCCCAGCTCCAGCCATTGAGGCCATTTGGGGGAGGAACCAGCAGATGGAAGACCTCTCTGTCTTGTAACCCTGCCTCTCATGTAAATAAATAAATCCTTAAAGTTACTCAATAACTTCTTCTGTTTAGCTTCCTCCATATACCTTCCCACAACTTACGGTTCCTAGAATCCCAAACCCTTATCACATCTCCACAAATTTACTGTCTTTTGTGAAGATGGTATGTCAGTGCCTGGGTCTAACCACTTCTTCCAGTTTTCACTCCTACGAAGGCCTCCTGTGTGTATATTATTATTCCCACTTACTGGGGGAAATGAAGCACAAGTGATTTGTCCAGGTCACCAGCCAGCAAGGGCAGTGCCCAGGCAGCCCAGCGCTCCAGCCCCAGCCCAGTGCTTCTCAGACCAAAGCTCAGCACAAATCACTTATTATTCAGGACACAGATGTGAACACTTTCATTTCAAGAGTCTTTAAAAGAAAAGATTTATTAATTTGAAAGGCAGAGTTACAGAGAGGCAGAGACAGAGGCAGAGAGAGTGAGGTCTTCCATCCACTGGTTCACTCCCTGGATGGCTGTGATGGCTGGAGCTGGGCTGATCCAAAGCCAGGAGCTTCTTCCAGGTCTCCCACGTGGGTGCAGGGGCCCAAGGACTTGGGCCATCTTCTACTGCTTTCCTAGGCCATAGCAGAGAGCTGGATTGGAAGTGGAGTAGCTGGGACTCGAACTGGTGCCCATATGGGGTGCCGGCATTGCAGGTGGCAGTTTTACCTGCTACACCACAGTGCCAGCCCTCCAAGAGTCTTTTTTAAAATTGGCTTGAAAGGCAGAGAGACAAAGAGAGAGAAATGCCCATAACAGCTAGAGCAGAGTCAAGCCAAAACCAGGAGCCGGAACGCTATCCAGGTCTCCAGTACGGAGGGCCGGGACCCAGGGACCTTACCCATCACTGCTGCCTCCCAGGGTGCACACTAGCAGGAAGCTGGATCAAAGTGAGGGATCTGGGACATGAACCAGGCACCCCCACGTGGGATGAGAGTGTCCCAAGCGGCGACTTCTCCGCTGCACCACATGTCACCATGTCATGAGTCTTCTCAGACATATGCTTACGGTGGGACATTACTGAGCCACAAAATTACCTCCCAACACAGCTGTAACACCGAACTCCAGAGTGAAACAGCCAGACAAAGCACTACGTTGTGTATGACTCTGTTTACATGAAACGGCCAGAAAGGGCAACTCCACAGGACAGAAAGTGGAGGAGGGCCCGGGGCTGGAGGACTGGGCAGGTGAGCACTGACTGCTCTTCAGTATGGATGGGGTTTCTCTTGGGTGATGAAAACCCCTGGAGTTAGCGGTAACAGTTGTTCTACTTATGAATATATTAAGACCATTGACTTGTATACTTTTTGAGTTAACCACTTTTTTAAAAAGTTTTTTTTAAAAAATTGATTGCAGGGTCTTAGTCCACCCGAACGAGGATGGACTGGGTCCGAAGAAAGGTAAGTGCGCCGCTCGCCCGTTCCCCAGCCTCCCGATCCCGGAGACAGTCAGACGCAGCGGGGAGTCAAGTCGAGCAAGCAAGAACTCCGTTTATTTCACGTGTAGCAAGACCTGTTAAAGCACAAGACCACAGGATTACTGGGGCAGGGCATGAGGACCAACCAATTACTTAAAAGGTCATTTTGCAGGGTGATTTTCTACAGGACCAGCCACACGTCTGCACACTCGTCATCAGTTGTCGTCACCTCCCCTGATGTTGCGCAGGCAGTCAGCTTTGCTGGTAGACAACTTTGGATACCGCCCACCTTACTTCCTTTGGGCACCATCTTTGAATTGCCTCCTGTGCCTAATTTCCCCACAATTGACTTATGGGGCTGGTGCTGTGGCGTAGCAGGTAAAGCCGCTGCCTGCAGTGCCGGGATCCCATACGGGCGCTGGTTCAAGTCCCTGCTGCTCTACTTCCGATGCAGCTCTCTGCTACGGCCTGGGACAGCAGTGGGAGATGGCCCAGGTCCTTGGGCCCCTGCACCCGCGTGGGAGACCTGGAGAAGCTCCTGGCTCTGGGCTGGCCCAGCTCTGGCAGTTGCAGCCATTTGGGGAGTGAACCAGCGGATGGAGGATCTCTCTGCCCCTGCCTCTCTGTAACTTTCAAATAAATAATTATATCTTTTAAAAAATGTATTTATTTGAAAGGCAGAGTGAGTGGGGAGAGGGGGAAGGGGCGAGTTTGACTCTACCCGCCCAGGCCCAGCCCTTCTGGACTTGTCCAGTTCCTCCAGGTTGATGTGCTCTCTCGTTCCCCTTGAAACTGCTGGGCTCACTTGACGCATCACTGCCTCCAGGAAGCCTGCATGGCTTGCAAGTTAGGGCCAGTCTCCCTGTGTATCACCTGCTCCCAGCACCCTGGACTCAGCCTCTCCGGCTAACCACCGTGCCCCATGAGGGCAGAGCTCTGCTCCTGGCAGCAACACCAAGGTCGATGCATCCTTTCAGATCCCGAGAGAGGTGGCTGACAGACACCGCTACTTCAAGAGGGGTTCTGCCCTCTCAGGGTGGCAGCTGACACAAAGCCCCTTCCTTCGGGCCCCAGTCACTGGCAGAGTTAGAGAGAGGCAAGGACAGACAGGACACCTTCCGTCCACTGGTGCACACCTTCTGGGCCAGGCAGAAGCCAGAGCCTGGAGCTCCAGGTCTCCCACGTGAGCCATCTTCCACTGCTTTCCCAGGCACATTAGCAGGGAGCTGGACCAGAAGCGGAGCAGCTGGGACTCACAGGGATGCTGGCATCACAGGCGGAGGTAACCCGCTGCACTACGGTACCTGCCCCATTAATGTTTTCTACACAGCAACCAACCAGTGGACCCTGCTCTGTTCCTCCACTGCACTCCCTGGCCACAGCAGAGAGCTGGCCTGGAAGAGGGGCAACCGGGACAGAATCCGGCGCCCCGACCGGGACTAGAACTCGGTGTGCCAGCGCCGCAAGGCGGAGGATTAGCCTAGTGAGCCGCGGCGCCAGCCTAGGCACTTTTATAAATATTATCTCCTGTTATCTGCCTAAGCCCTGCCAGGACACATTCTTGCCCAATCCACTTTTTCCAGATGGACAGAGTCAGGATGTGAGTCACCTGGCAAAGCCAGAAGCTAGTAAGTGTGAAGTACTTGCTTTTACAAAATGTAAGAAAAAGTAATTATCTAGGAAGCTTTTCCCAGTTGCTGGAACTTTCTGGATTTCGTAGGAACACTTCAAGATGTTTGTCAGGAATGTGTGATTCACTGAGGAGAGGAAAGAAGACAGGGCACCTCTGTGTGCAAGACTGAAGTCATATTCCAGGGCCATGGCCTGCGGTTTCCACTTCTAAAATTAAAAAAAAAAAAAGAAACAAACAAACAAACACACACAGGGTTTCCTCACACTAACGAAGCTATGATTAATCCGCGTAGGTGGTTTATTCTACTTGGAAGCAAGAGAATTCCCACCAGGATCAGCGCTGCTGGCTGTTGGAGTCTTCACCTTAACAGTTGAAAGTAGACACAGACGGGGGAGAGACGCACACAGAGAACAGGAGCGCCAGCCAGCTTTCTGGTTTGCTTCCTAAATGCGCCACCAGCTGAGGCTGGGCCAGCAGGAAGCCTGGAGACAGAGCTCAGTCCTCTCTCCCACATGCTGCCAGGGACCCACCTACTTGCCCATCCCTGGGGCCTCCCGGGGTCTGCGTTAGCAGGCAGCTGGAGTGAGCAGTCAAGACTGGAGTCAGGGTGGGATTGGGTCCCGAACTCAGGCACTCTGATTTGGGATGCAGGTATCCTAGCTGCTAAACACTGGTTCCTTGATTAAAAAAAATTTTTTTAAAGGAAGCCCAGTTTGTGGTGCAGCGGGTTACACACCTGCTGGTGCCAGGCTCCCACACTGGAGTGTGGTTCCAGTCCTGGCTGCTCCGATTCCAGCTTCCTGCCAAAGGACTTGAAAAGGCAGAGGTGCTGACCCAAGCACTTGGGCCTCTGCAAACCACACAGGAGAGCAAGATGGGGCTCCGGGCTCCCGGCTCCCACCTGCACTGGCCCCGGTGGTGTGGAATTCTGGGGACCGAACCAGTCGACGGAAGGTCTCTGCCTTTTAATTAGCAAATCTTTCAAGACATTTTTTTAAAAAAAAGCAGAGGACTTGGAGTCTGAGGTTTTAAGTCTAAAACCTCAACTTGGATGAAGGATTTCTGTTCCCTATTCGCTGGTCAATTTGGGCAAGGCTCAGTGACCTCAAATTTCAGCTGCTCGCAGAGTCAATGGGAAGACTGACCCTGCCGGGGCCGCCCTACCTAACACTGACCCTCTCCGGACCTGTGGAAATACCCTTCCCTGAGTCTGGGAAAGTAAAGAAAGCCAACCTCGATCGGAGAGCGCGCTCGCTGCAGACAGCGCCGCGACACCCACGGGGAGAAAGGCCCAAGGCTCTTCCTCCCGTGCCCAGCGCCGACAGAGCTCCCTCCACCCCGTCACTAGCTGCGAACATTCCAGAACCAAGTGCGTCCGGACCGCCTCCCCGCCGGCCTGTCAGGGGCCGAGCGGACCCCCGGCCCTCCAGCCCTCCGGCCCCAGCCCGTCCTGGGCGCCCAGCGAGCCTCACTGGCCCTCCACTCCAGGCCCCCTGGCCACTTCCGGGCCTCGGCGGCTGTGCCTCGGTTTCTCCAGCTGCACCGTCTACGGAGACAAACACAGCAGGGCTAACGTCCGCTGTCGTCACTTCAACCTTGCTACCAACAACTTTTTTTTTTTGCTAAAAACTTTTGGGAGACCGTTTTACTGATCTTTGCCTCTTTCAGGGAGAACTTGGACTTCTTTCTCTTTGCCTCTCCCAAACCCGCAGTCCCAGTCTGCAGTAGCTGTAAATCACGGAATTAATCTGTTCCTTCCCCCATGAAAAACTCAGAATCGCGTCCTAAAAAGTGGGGCCCTGTCCGGAACGTGGCGGCCCGCCGCTCCCGCGCCCAGGGAGCACTCGGCAACGAGCGCCTCCGGCTTTCCCGGAGGCGGGCTCCCTCCTCAGCGGCCACCGCGCCCGCCCCGCCATTACGGGGCGCGAGGGAAAATGGAGGCGCCTCGTCCGCGCCTGCGCCCTGCGGCCCGCGCGCCCGCCTCGCCCCACCGGGCCCGCCCGGCCGCCGCGGCCGTTGAGGGCGGGCGAGGGGCGGGGAGGAGCGCTGTGCCGCCCCGCGTCCGAGCGCGCGGCTCCGGCGAGCCCGGCTCCGGCCCTGAGAGTCCGCTCCGGGCCGCACACGAGGACGACCCGGTCCGTAGGCCGCGGCCGCGCTCCGTGCTTTCCCTCCAGCCCTTTGTGTCCCGGCGCGCGTGGGGCGGAACCTGAGAACGGTTCCCGCTCATGCGCCTGCTGGGGGTGGAGATGAAATGGCTCAAATATTTCAATCCCTGCCATTTACATGGGAGGACTGGATTGAGTTCTGAGGTACTGGCTTTGTTCTGGCCCAGCTCTGGGTGTTACTGGCATTTGGAAAGTGAATCAGCAGATGGAAGATTTTCTCTCCCCTCCATTCTGTGATTATACTCTTGTTCCCTTTTTAATAAATGAATAAACGAATTCAAAAATTATCTTGCCATCAATTCTTTCAATTAGATTTCTCAAAAAAGACAGATGCTTAGGTTTGAAATACTACTTACAAATAAAAAGTTTATTGTTTTATTGAGTCACTTTCTGTGGCTGGATTGCTTTAACTCTTCTGGAAATAGACAATTTCTTTGGAGAGGAAGGGCAGAAAAGGGTTTACAGAGACTACATTAGGAATAAACATGCTTTCTTTTTCAACATTAAACAACAACTGAAGACATGTAAATTTTTTAAAAAAAGTAACACAAAGTCAATACAGAAAAACACAAAAATACAAGAAAGTTCTGTTAGGTTTAGTCAAATAGTGTATCTCAGAAGTTTAAACTTATGCTTTTGCTTCCAATGCAGATTTTAATAGTGCTGCAAATTAATTTTG